AATAGCTTTATTGAGGAACTCCTTTAGATCAGACATCAAAAGTCACCTATGAGGGACATAATCAGACAATAAGTCCTTCTGTCTAAAAGGATTCAGTAAATTAATCCATGCCAAAATCATAAAGAATTCTTATTTCTTTTTTTGAAATGACAACATATTGCTGGCACTGGAGATTTAAGTATGTGGAGCGGGAGGCTCCACTCTCAGCAAAAGCAATGAACATGAGGGGACTGACTGGACTGACAATGGGGACAAAAGTTTGACTGACTTGACACTGACACCCAAGATTGCACCTACTCGCGATCGTGGCTCAAGAGTTGGCAGTTTGTTTTGTAATCGGAAGGTTGCCGGTTCGAGCCCCGGCTCAGACAGTCTCGGTCGTTGTGTCCTTGGGCAAGACACTTCACCCGTTGCCTACTGGTGGTGGTCAGAGGGCCCAGTGGTGTCAGTGTCCAGGAGCCTCGCCTCTGTCAGTGCACCCCAGGGTAGCTGTGGCTACAGTGTAGCTTGCCATCACCAGTGTGTGAATGGGTGGCTGACTGGATGTAGTGTAAAGTGCTTTGGGGTCCTTAGGGACTAAGTAAAGTGCGATACAAATACAGGCTATTTACTCCACCCAGCCAGGGTGGAAAGGGGGGATCTATATTTTTACAGGAGGAGGAGAGGATGAAGGTGACATCCTAGTTTCGCATGAGCTTCTGACCCATGCAGATCTTTTAGTTGCCACTTTTCTGTGTGTATGTACTAGCAGTGTGTTATTATGACATCGTGTTGTTGACAATGCAAAGATCAGTGAGAAACTGGTGTACTGTGTTATTACACCAGTTTCTCACCTTAACTAGGATAACTAATGCTGGTACGCGTGGTCCCCACCTTAACCATAAGGTGGGGACCACTAATGCTGGTACGCTGACGCAGAGGCGTAGACACCATATGCCAGCACGTAGGTCAGTGGGGAATTTAGACCCAACTTTAGGGTCAGCCACTTATATAGACGCTTTAGGAGGGCCCAGAGGGGTCCCTAATAAATACCAGGTAGCATCAGGTTTTGAAAACATAACAGTCCTTTCAGCTTTCTTTACAGCCACACCAAATAAAAATGTGGGTACGATTAACTATGTCCATTACGATGTTAATGTTAAGCCTTGCCAATTTGACTAGGGATGCAATTGAGGGATTAGCTGAGCAGGTGGCTCCTAGCTCTCTGATGGCTGTACAAAATAGGATGGCTCTTGATATGCTGTTGGCTGAAAAAGGGGGTGTCTGTGCGATGTTTGGAGACATGTGCTGCACATTCATTCCAGACAACACGGCCCCTGTGACCAGAGCCCTAGAGGGACTGAGAACATTATCCAAGGAAATGCATGAACATTCAGGGGTGAACAATCCTCTGGAGGAGTGGATGACTCCGGTGTTTGGGCAGTGGAAAGGGTTTATTTTGTCAATCATGATGCAAGATAGATGTTGTTGCTCAAAAGTTAAAAACTGCTAGACATTGGGGATGTGAAACTATGTGTAGGCCAGTGGAAACAGAAGAGCACCAAACAAGTGTTAAAATTAAAGATAAAAACCATAAAGCAAATGAGACATGTTGAAAAATAAAGGTTAAGAACTAGGGTGCAGGGCACAACTGAATTTCCACTGCCATGTGGGTGGGATGACAGTGATAAACATGTTGTGATTGGCTGACTGGGGGACTGCTCCCTGTTGGCAAGGAGGGGTGTAATGAAAAGGTATAAAATAGCTTTATTGAAGAAATGCCTTAGATCATACATCAAATCATTCTCTAAATCATACTTTAGAACATACTCTGTGCAGCTTAGAGTTTGATGTGTGTGATCTATGCATATACTTTGCTGAATAAAGAGTTGAAGTTGGACTTCACGTCTCCGACTGACTTCTTGCCATCAAAAGAATCGGGTGAAGCCGGCGTGCTTCGACAGCAGCAACCATGTCATGGATGTATTACTTATAACTAAAAACTTAGACTGGTTATAATATATTAAGAGGAAAACCAAAGTATTTAGGACTAGTATGGCTAGATGTTGAAGTTAATGCCAGTGATCTCTCTTGTAAGTACTGTACATTGGGTATTTTACATATCAAATACTCAGATTTATAAAACCACCACCCAATCTAATGTTTATGCCACAAGTGCCCTAAAACAGCATTATTGGCAATTACCCAAATATTTGTTTATTTTTATGTAATAGTTAATCCACCAACATGTGCAAAATCTTTAATCAAAATTAGATTTTGCTACAATATAATTATTGCTGTTATCTGTGAATTTTCAAATTAACTCTTTTATTTTAAAAAAAGGAAGCAGATTAATACTTTTTCATTAAAATGCCAAATTACAGTTATTTAATTGTATTCATGAACCGAAAAATTTGTTTTGGTGACTGAATATTATGCTTCATTAATTTCTGACTTCTCAGTGCAGTCCGGGTCAAATTTGGGTAAAAACAAAAATCACGAATTCAGTTTGTTATTTGCCTAACAACATTATTTTTTCTCTTTCTATGACAAAGTCTAATATATTTGTTAAGCACTGTACAACATGTAGGAAATGACAGTGTTTAATTTTACATTGTCTGGCAGGAAAGCCAGTCTAATAAAAAATGAAAAAGCAGTCATTCGGTAGTGAGCACAAATGACGCGTTACTGTAATCGGATTACTTTTTTCAAGTAACGAGTAAAGTAAGGGATTACTATTGCAAAAACGGTAATTAGATTACCGTTACTTTCCCGTAGGAACGCTGAGTTACTGCGTTACTAAAACCATGATTTTTTTGTGAGAATGTCTCATGACAGTGACATAAGCGAGTGCGCCATTCGTGGCAACAGCTGCGTGCAGATCAACAATGGATCATATATCGAGTGCGGGAGAGAGTATGAGCGTGCAGCGTTTAAAGCGTGGAAGTACTGACCTTACTTTGAGTTTGATTCCATAAAAAGTGACAAAAACATTAGTGTCTGTTGTGCGTGGGAAGAAAACTTCTTTTTACACCGAAAAAACCCCCCTAAACAGGCACCGAGTGCGCTACGACGTGATGGGAAATTCACAGAGATTCAACTGACCGCTGCGGCACACCTGCACCAGGGTAAACCTCCGCCTATCTCACTCCTGCTTTACAGGTGAAAATAGAGCAAAAGGACCTCTAGTCTTTGACTTTATTTATTTTCTGCTGTGTTTTACTTGCATCTATTTGAAAGACTGAGTGTAAACACACAAAATATTTTATTTTATGTGCTGGAATGTGCAGAAAATAGGTTTAAATGTTAAACTAATTTATTCAAGTCAGAGAATGTTGCATATAATTAAATTTTTGCTTGATGCATAAAGTTAAAAGATTAAAACTGATGAAACAAGTTAAAAAAGATGCTTTTCCATTTGATTACATTTTGTAAATCGTGTTTTTAAAAGGTAACTAAGTAACTAAGTAATTAATTACGTTTTAAAATAAGTAATCAGTAAAGTAACTGGATTATTTTTTTGGGGAAGTAATCAGTAATTAGTTACTGATTACTTTTTTCAAGTAACTTGACCAACACTGCAAATGAGTGAGCACAAGTTTAGCTTTATTTATCCCAAGGGTTGGAAAATCCTTGAATTATAGCAGATAAAAACACTCAAGGAAGCCAATAACAAAACAGCTTAAATAAAACAGAATAGTTCAATAAAAATGTAATATGACAAACCAAAACCGCTCAATAACGTGCACAAAATGAAGGAACTTATTTAAAAGGGAAAAAGTATAGAATGAAACACCAGCTATTGATACAATAGGACATTTAATATTGGGTGGGTGGAGAAAACATTTCACATTATATTATTCTATCTCCAGTTTAAGCTTGACTATTAAAATCATTATCCATGGCATTAAGTTAATGAATTTTGCATAGACTGTATGATGCTGTTGGCAGATCCCTGAGCAAAATGATACTTTATGACTGAAAATATAGGAATGTGCATGTAATGGTAGAAATATTAAGTCATTAACATAGCAGTATAGTAGAGTGTTCTTTTAGACAAGTTTTTGCATACAGGGAGTACTGGTACATAGAGTCATTACACTGAACATATGGTGTTTATTTTCTAGGCACAATCATGACTGTTCAGCTTGTTTTGTTGCAGCTCTAAATGAAGATGTGTCAGCACATTCAACTTATGTTGCTATGGGCAGAGTTTTTTTGACATTGAGGGGAAAAAAAGACCAAAGCATCTTTGGTCTTTAGTTAACAGCAGTTTTAAAAAAAAAAAAAAGAAAAGAAAGAAAGAAAAAACAGTGATTCAGCTCGTTGTATTTCTAAAATTGAAATCTCCAGTCAATAAAAATGCTGAAACACGCTTTGTAACCAAGAGCATTTATTTTTATTTTAAAAAATGAAAGGGAAAAGCTTTCATGTCTTCCTGCCACAGTGACTGGGTGTTTAGCAAACCAATTAAGGAATCTGCTAATTTCTTCATAGAGTAGATTTTATCAGCATTTTTCAGGTTTCTCCCAAAATGAGAGACTGATTGAGAGACAGTGAGGCTCTGTGATGTCTGACAATTTAGTAATATGCGAATATTCAGTAATATCTAACATTCATTATCAACTGTTATTTTTAAAATAACACTTCGTTATGCTGGTGAAACACAATGGTGAACAGTAAGGCAGCTCTCTATAAGCTCAGTATAACCACTGCATAAATTTATAAAATGCAAATGGTACACCTTCAGCTCCTCTGCACAGGCCATTAAGAAATAATGGTATGATGTAATGCTGCCGCCTACTGGCAGAAACAGACACAGCATATATCATGGTAGAGACCTTTTACCATTATATAAGCGATAACAAGAAATTACGTCATGCATCATCCAAATCAAATCACATCAAATTACAGTCAGGTAAATACTGGTGAGGTATAATAGTTTGAGAAGGACTTTGTTTTGAATAACTGAAAATAAATGAGTTCATCATTTCACACATAAAACAGTGACAGCGCAGTTATTCAGTCGGTATCTTTAATAATTAACCAATGAATGTTTGGCTGGCTGACGGACCTTTATTTCCTTAAAGGAAACAGAAGCTCTGCTCCATGCTGGTGAAGACCACAGCTCTAGAACAGCAGAAACACATCCGTCAAAAGTGCAGCTACAATTACACTGGTGTATTAGTTCTGTTTTGTGCATTAGGTTATTCAGCATCACAGAAAGAAATACTTAAATTTAAAAAAACCCTTAACTTTAATAGCTACTTGTATATAAGCAGTGTTTTTTAAAGCAGCTGCTGTGCAGGCAACAGCTGGATGTAACAGTTTCCTGGTATACATTTCCACTGCAAGCAACCAAGACCCAGCTATTCCACCACTGAAGGACATGTGTCAATATTTACCTCCCAAATTTACTGCAGCCAACTGGTGCATTCAACATTCTTACAAAATCAATTTTCTCTTCAGCTCACTTTTGCAAAAATAAACAAACAAATAAACAAAAGTAGAGAGTTTGTGCATACTTAAGGTATTGCCTTCAGGTGAACAGGTGTCAGAGCACTTATCCATCTGGCTTTGTGGAACAAGATTGTGGGGAGCTGGGTGACTTCGCTTAGGCTTCACTTTAAAACGTCCTGTACTCAAAACAGGGCATTGTCAAAAAAAAGCAAATTTCTACACAAATAAATTAGATTTATTCCCCTTTGCATGTGTTTTGACCCTGCTCTCTTATTTTGTCTCCAACACAAAAAAAGTAATGATTGTAAACTCTTAACTGGCCGTACTGAAAATCATGCAGTTATTATATCTACTAGAATTTCCCTAATGCAATATGCCAGAAATATGTCACCTCCTGATAATCTATTTAGCTCTTTGTATTTATGAATCTTAATGTGAGATACAATGCCACTTAATCATGGATGACCTACCAGGGTTGAGAATTCTCTCTGCAGCTTTGTGCTCGAGGTGCCTGCAGAGGATGTTTTCTGCCTTCCTCTGGTTTGTGCTTATATCAGGCACAGCCTGGATTTCTGTTGCTGTCAGGTTGTTCTTGATGGCTTTTGAAGCTGTGGAGCGAGCCAGGCTGGGAAGTAGGTTCTGGTATTCTTCATCGGTGAAGTCTGGCTCTGGGCCCTCTACATCACTGACTCTTAAAAGGGAAACACAATATATGTTATGGTTCTTTGTCACATCGCTTTGACTGCTAAACAAATATTTGTGAGAGTTGCAATAGTATTGTTCTGGATCTTTTCAACATCATTAGCATTAATAGTTACATGTGTAGTCACATATTTGTAGTTCCATATACAAAAAAAGGCAAACATTTATTTTTAAAGATGAATATTACATCAGATATAAAGCTGCCAACATACCTCCCTTTAGTTAAAATAGTGTAAACTTCCAGCACCAACAGCTCAGCTGCTCCTGGTTTACAATGGATTGTTCCATCAATGGCCTCCTTCTTCAAGTACAGATTCCGCTTCTCTAAAGACTGGATCAATAAATTATATTAGAGATTATATTTAAACACTTGAATGGAGAAGGAAACCACTTTACGATTCAGTTAACACAGGCACTGTGGGTAGTGAAAATGTCACATCCCAGCGGGACCTCAACACAGGGTTGGACTGGTAAATCTGGCATACTGGGCATTTTGTGCACCAGCTGTACAAGCACTGACAACAGCCCATTCATTTATTTTCAGTACTGACACTGGATTGCCCAATCAATCTCTTAATGTGACCAGCCCATCCCCTTTGCTGTGTGGAAGAAGTGGTGAAAAGGTGAAGCTGAAAAGCTGAAAGAAAACAATAAAAAGAAATTAAAAACAACCAACATGTTAGCTGTCGGGGCTGCTGCTCCACCATGAACCGGGAACAACTAGTAACCAATCTTCAGTTACAGCACGCTGTTGCTGCAAGTGCCTGCTGTGGAGAAGTGAGGGGGAGATGGAGGTAGATGAAATTGACGTGGTGAGAAAATAGATGGAGGGACATAATAAGGAAGGAACTTTGACCACGAGCCATTGCTAATAGCTGAAGTTTAGCTTTTAACTGTACCAACTATTTAAGTCCACGTCCAGCCCTGCTTCAACATATGCATTTAAAGCTCCATGCTGTCTGTGTGTCTGTGCCCCTGGTGTATTGCAGATTAACCAAAACCTTTATTTATGACACTTGCAGTAGCAGTAGCCTGCAACAAGTAAGAGAAACTTGAACTTGTATTATTTAAACACCAAACTGTACCTGGAAGATGCATTTCAGTGACATGCCAACTGCAGTGAATAAAAAAAGCATTTCTTCGTGGCTCATTATATTTTTGAATATTTTGCTCTGCTCACCCGCTCTATCTGGCTCCAGTTCCACTGTTTGGCAGAAAGCGATGTTCCTCTGTCGTATGAGTGCAATGAAAAGTCTCGGGGGTAATAATGAGAAAATATCTGTGCCACAAGGTAGCCGCTGGAAAAATCTCTGGAAATGAAATACAGAAATAACAATATGCACTTACTGGCTCTACCAGTGGAATTTGCCTTAGCACTTGGTTATTCCTTGTCATAGCAGATTTATTGTTATCCTTGCGTTTTCCTTCTTTTTTAATCAACCTCACATAATCCTGCTCCTTTTAAGTTGGTTATTCGCTTCATATTTTATGCATTGTAAGTTTGTGTTTAAATGAGGAAACGGAAGAAAATGGGCCACATGGTAGTTCAGAATTTGGATATGCTGTATATAAATTAGGAAATTGATACAAACACAGTTTACAGTGTGCTGGAAATTGGGTGGGTGGGTGTGAGGGGGAGGTAGATTGAGGTAGATTTTGTGTGGTGATATTGTATTGATACAGGGACACCAAATATCACTTTAATTTAATTTTAAACAAATTAAAATATTCTGGAATTACTATGAGGACTCACCTCATGCACCACAATCCTGAGATAATGATAGCCAGACAAACTTCAATTAAATTGGCTCAACTCTAAGCCCATCCAACACTGGACACACTTAGCTTGACAAAGCCAGCTTTTTTACACAATTTTCAAACAGCCTCATGCTTTAAAACTTACAAGCTGATGAATGACCTCCTTTTAATTTCAAAGAGACATTTTTCTTCATAAGGTCTGGCCTGCACAGTCCCATCCACTCAGTTTCCTTCTCATTCATGCTGGTTACCATGATTGCTGCAGAAGCACTAAACCACTGTTAGCCAACTAATGAAATTAAGATTGCACTGCAACAACCTATCTTTACCAAACTGTATGAATTTAACTTCCAGTTCATGTGTATCAGTAGAATTCAGCTAAGGGGGTACATCAATGCCGTAATGGGTACTGTATGTGTGTGTGTGGATTTATATATATCATGAATGTATGTATTGTGCATTCATTTATTCCTCTATTCCTCTTTTCTGCTGAACTAACAGTTCAGCTGCTGTTCTGATCTTCGGGATTCAGAGGTTATCCACAGATCTCCTTTTTTCAGTCACAAGAGTCCAGGAGCTAATAAAAAGTGCGACATCGTGTGCATATATAAAATGTGCAGGCTTAGATACAGCGTGACACTTGGTCACCCTAGTTTTATGTGATTTTTTTTCTTTTCTTTTTATTCTGCAGTTACATGTTTTTTTAAGTTAGAAAAAAGATTAAATGGTATCTACATTCAATTTAGCTAGCTAACAGTAGGTTAGTAAGAACACAACATAATACTTTTCTAACAATATGCAGGAAAATAGACGTGTAAAAATATATATATTTTTTTTTTTAAATTACACATATCCTCTTTTTAATATTCTTCTTCTTTTCTTTTATTCGTATTTGTGATTCACAAAATAGGTTCTGTACCTGCGCACATTTTTGGGATAAAATGCCAAGTCCAGAGTTTGCAGCCACTTGACTACTTCTCTTGGTAGTCCTGTTTTCTTGGGACATTCTGCGAAACATATGCTGCTCCGAGCCATGAAATCTACACACCAGTGACTTTTCTATCGCTGTTACCAGTCACCTCCATAAATCATGCCGAGATCTGCTTTTTTTTAAGGAGGGCTAATTGACGAGCTCCTGGCCTGTTTTGTTGAGATTTCTATGACAACGGCACTCTGTGGTGCTAAACCGTGTCGGTAGCGGCGTGCTGCCCTCTAGAGGATGAGCGGTCTGTTTCTTCAGTTATTTATTTATTTGACTAACATTTGTATAACGCTTTTAAATAATAGTGCTACCCAATAAATAATACTAGAGCATACACAACTGCATGTAATATAACAATGAAACTGAATACTGAAGCTAAACTCAGATATATGAAATAAAAAATCAAAATACGGCCAAAATATTATCAAATGGCACATGAATATCTTGTTAATAATATGTTAGAGCATGAAAGTTCCATTCAGCTACACACATTTCCATCTGAGCAGTTGTCAGCGGTCAGTAATCCAAGCTTAAACTTGTCAACTTTTTGAATAACTGGTTCCACCACTGAGACAAACATCAGTAACAAATCCACCATTTGGCTGCTGGGAAAGACATATTTGAATGCAACAGGTTTCAAAACAGATTTTTAATAATCTAATGTTAAATGCGAAACAATGAACATTCATTAACATACAGCATGTAGTGTGCATTTACACGATATTCGAATCTTTTATGGGGGGGTTTAAATATAAAGTGCAGCACTCACTGGCAACTAGTAAGGCATTTTCTAAACACTGCAGAACAGAAAACAAAATATTTATTATTAATGTTATTCAAACAAAATTAACCTAGGGAAAACTAATCCTGGAAGTTTGTTTTAGTGGCATCCTGCTTTACATTTATCCAGGTCCACACATCCTCACATGGGAATCAGGCCAGCTCAACACAGCTGCTACAGTCAGCTACTCGGCCGTGTAGCTAATTCAAATTAATTGCTTTTACTGGATTGACTGGAAGCTAAAATTAAAGTTAAGAGGAGTGTGGAGTTGATATAATTTTTTGGTGTCCAAGGCTTCTTCCTGCAAGTCCCATTTAGGCAGACAGTTTGATAGTCTGTTGTCATTGGTACTGCAGGTAGCTCTTGATCCTGTTAGGCAGAGGAAGATGGGAAAGAAGGTGGAGTCTGTCGCGTCCAACGCAGTTTCTGATGCACTGACGACACAACTGGCTAAGCAACCGTGGTGTAGCTATGAAAAGGAGACAGGAAAACATTATTTATCACTGTTAATTGGTGGTTAAAAAAAAGACAGAAACAGATCAAAGCAAGGTCAGGAAGGGATCAATGATTGCGAACGAAACCAAGCAAAAAGTAAACTCATACCTTCATAAAGCAGTAGAAAGCCTTCTGTAAGACTGCTGGGTGGAGCCACATCCACTGGCCTCTGAAACTCTGTGTTCCTGGCATTAATGTCTGCGCCAAAGTCCAGCAGCAACTTCACTACAGCTGTGCAGTCTTTTTCTGCAGCTGCATGTAAAGGTGAATCCAGGGATTTACCTTTCTGTACATTTGCACCTACATGGAGGAGACTATAATTATCCATAGTCCAATCAGAAAACTCCAATATCAGATACCTGTATTGTTAAGTACAAGTAGCTTTGGTTAATTTGTGATTATATTTTTAATTTACCTTTTCTTTACTTGCCTAAATTAGTACCTTATTTCAAAGACTGCAGTGAGACACAAATGGGCACACTAATCACTTGTATATGTAATCAGTCACTTGTTGGGTATAAATGTAGTCCCACTTCTTATTGAAATTGCAATGTGTGCTGTGCTTGTATTAAGTTCTTGTTTACTAAGGCTGCTGCTAATAAAACAATTAGTTTGTCTGTTTCTTATGTGATAGAGCTCTCATTAGCTCTTTGTTACACCTTTTGCACTTGACAATTTGCAGTCTCATTGTTTGTCATATTGCTAGCACAGAATTTATCATATTGTTGTTTAAATGTTTTTATCCCC